TCCTAGAATAGGAAAAAAGAAATAATAGGATGTTCTACAGTTCCTTTTATTTAGTTTGTCAAAGCACCAACAATTTGCACTCTTTCTTTTGTTCATTGTCAGAAAAGACCCTGTAAGCAGGGATTCCCTGAACATCATGCTGTGAGCCCAGATTCCTGTTTTGCTTCCTTTGGAGAGCTCACTGGCAACCTCAGCGATGCTTTGTGCCAGTTCTTAGGTGGCTCCAAAGCCACATGCACATCAATATCATCTTTGGTGGTTTTGGCTGGTTTATAATCTGTCTTACTGAGGTCTGGTTCAAGACAGAGGCCTTTAGGGCAGAGATCTCCTGAGAACTGAAATAAAAAGGTCTGATTTGGAGGAGATTTGCTTCTGCCAAATGAAAGTGGCACATTTCCAGCTGCACACGCTGAGTTCCCTGGGAACACACGGGTCTAGAGCATAGTTATGGAGAGGCAGCTAGTCTGTGGAAGGTACTGTGTCAGGCACAAGGGGGAGTGGATAGACACACGGCTACGGGAAGTACCACCCTCGAATGGCACACACAGAGTTGGAAGAACAGCCAAAGGCATGAAGAATATCCCTCAGTTGAAGTGTGAGGTGATAGTTTGAAACTCACAGAACTGAATAAGAGATTATCTGTCCAGCAGGGGAAATTGTATGTAAATGATAGAGGCCCTGGATACTATTAATAACCATGCCAGGGAAGTTTGGCATAGTTAGCAGATGGCAATTTTTGACTGCCCAAGATTTGACTTCTCCTCCTCTCATATTTTGGACCTGAAGTGTGTAGCCTTTAAGAGAGTATGCCGTTACCTCTGTTTACACTCTAGCAGCTCCGTCACTGGGTATAGTATATGACTCAGACCAGACTCTGAATCTGGGTCAAAGGTCAAGAGACTGTTGGAATTGATTCTTGGTGTCAGTGGTGGTGTCTGTTGGTTTTCAGTAGTGGTACCTGCAGTGTCCTAGCTGAAATTTCTGCTATAGGATGGTGACTGTAATTCTTGCTCCTTGTCATTCTGCCCTGGTGTTTTGCCCATTTTTGTGCTTGGTGCTATAGCACCTGCTAGTCTGTGAAGTAGCATATCCTTCTTACAGAGCCTACTTCTTCTGCTCCAGTGTGGGTGGGGGCATGGGGGGATGCGTTTCTGTTACAACAAGCAAAAATCCTGATGGCATCTGAATGTCCAGGGCTCTCCTCATTTAGACTGTCCCACTTGTTCAGCAGATCTTCTCATCCGTGGGTACATGCTTATTATATCTAGCTGTGTAACTCCCTACTTTGAAGACTGAACTCAAACATTTGGAATGTTCCCTGAGTTAACAAAGAGCTTAGTGCTTGCTAGTGAATCTTGTAATTTTTCACGTTTATCTTTTATTCTTTTTATTGCCAAAGAGTGCTTGTGTTCAATGAGGGTTGGGGAGAGAGACACAGAGAGAAAGAGAGAAAGAGAAAGAGAGAAGGAGAGAGAGAGAGATAACTGCTGAAACCCTTTTTCCTCCATTCCTCTATCTGGTGAGGATTTGGGGCATACATGCACACATGCTCAATGGGTTTTTAAGCTGGGATTCAAACTGTGGTCAACCATAGAATCTGACTCACTCTGCACAGTATTTAACTGCTATGCTATGGGACCACCCTCTCTCTCTCTTTTTTTTTCATCCCATGTCTCTGCCTGTTAGCCAGTGAGCCACTGTTTTTTTATTGGGGCTGTAATTTTCTCTTTATACTTTTAGATCCAGTTAATATTACATACTTAATGTGTGAATGAATAAACCTGATTGTGAAAATGGATGAAGTATTGAAATTGTGGGTTGAAAGAGAATAAAATAGTTGGAATGCTTGTTGTAAGATATTTACTCTGGTGATACTAAAAAAGAAAAAACATGTAGACTGAGTCTGCATTCTGCTGGCTAAGGCAGCTAGATTCTAGATGGCTAACTGTGTGGTTTGAGCCTTGGACCCAGCAGATTAAGAAATATGCTGGGTGTGTGTGAATGTGTGCCCAAAATCCTGAATGAAGGAAAAAATGGAGGAGAAGGGATTTTGGCATGATTATTCCCTACAGGGGTTGCTTTCTCCTTTCTCTTTTCTTTTTATCTTTGTCTCTCTGTCTCTCTCTCATAATCTCACACATACCCTCTAGCCACAAAAAAAGAAAAGGAATAAAATATCAAATATTGGTTTGCCATAAAAGTCATGATGTATTTTTTTTGCTATGCAAAAATGTATCATGACTCTTCTGACAACCTAATATATGATGTCCATCCGTCTGATATTAAGAAGTATACATTTATTTTCTACTTTTAAAAGTCAGATTTGTTAGGTGTTCTTTATGACAGTAAAATTCACCCTTTTTATTGTAGAGTTCTACAAGTTTTAACAAATGCATGCAATTCTGCAAACACTACTAGAATCAAGACATAGAGCAGTTTGATCACCTTCCCAAATGTAGTCAGCCTCTTCTCTCACCTCCAGCTCCTCTCACTTCCAGCTCCTGGAAACCTCTCATCTATGAATTTATATTTTAAGCAGCTAACATAATTCCATAACTTTCTCAAACAATATTTTATTTTCTTGGAAGGAAAAAAAATTGGGTAGTGGATTTTTGCCTAGAAATAGAGTTGTTAGAATTAACAAATTAAAATAACATGTATTTTTTGTTACTTACATGGAATTCAATTTAACTGAACAGCCTATGCCCCCCCCTTTTTATTTTCTGCAACTCTAATCTTGGATGTGGATTGCGCATGTGTAGGAACTGTTAAATATAAAGGTAAGTGTGAAATTGGCAGAAACATGGAAAAAATTAAAGGGAGGAAAACGCAAGAAGAGGTCACATATCATTAGCAGCATCATTCTGCTATTAAGACGATTTGGAACAACCTAGAAGGAGATGAGGGAATGAAGTTTCTGTATGAAACAAGAAATGCACTTGCTTATACATGAGTGATCTACTCAAGACTGCTTTGAGGAGCAGGATTCTTGATGTGCTGTTGCATAAACCAAAATACAATTCTATCAAGGCAGCTTGCTGCCAAGCTGTGTTGTGGGAAGTACAACTCAGGAAGCCATTAGGCACTCGGAAGTTGGTGAAATACATTCTGTGGAAATGGAAAGTATTTGCTAGAGTTCTATCCTCAAGGAAAAGGAAAAGGAATTTTTCTTGAGTTATCAAAATTGAGTTTTTAGTGCTTACTGTTTCTCAGAATGATGATGTAACAAAAACATGCTTACAGCATTAAACTTCTGATTCAGATGGGTCATCATTAAAATGATATCTACTTTATCTTTACATTATTGAACCAGAAGGGCTTGCTAAGCAAAGCCAAATAAGCTTTTAAGTGGATTCTTCTTACTCTACATGGAAGAATAAACTATTTTAAGAGACTTTTGACAAGTCTGTTGTTTATACTACAGATGCCTTACCTTTCTGTGTTTAAAGCAAATTTGGCAGGACAGTTATTTGGAAAGGAGTGGTAGCACCTCACGTCTGGTCTATACTTCGTTATTATTTTCCAAGATTCCTCAAGCTATCCTGCCTGTGCTGCCGTCTTTAGTCTTGGATCTCAGCCTGACTGTTCGTGCTGCAAAACTGGTTGATGCTAAAGAGATAATAGTTTTAAATGATTATATATGTTAATGCAATTAGTTAATATTTGGCTTCTAAGTGCTGACAAAGATTCTCTCCCTGGCCAAATTCTAACCAGGCTACTCAGAATCTTCTTTGTAACAAGGCCCCAACTCAGCCTATAAAAATTAAGATTCTCAACACAAATGATTTCATCTACTCCCTTGATATACATTAAAAGATGTACACGGACATTAACATAGTTTCGAACAGCTCAAGACTACATTGCTGGGATGACCCTAGTTCCCATTAAGATGTCTCTCTGTGAAAGCTCAAGACTGTCCAGACAACTCACTGTGTATTCCAGCCAAATCGTGAAAATAGACTCTTGACTACCTTTTCTTAGAGCATGTGCGAAAAAGAACTTAGAATCACAAATCCTTCTTCTGTTACCTTTAAGATGAATATGTTCATGGAACCTGCAGATGGTGTAATGGTTATGTCACTGGATTCCCACATAGTCAACTGTGGTTCACATCCCAGACCTGGTGACTTAAACGTTTCTCACACTAGACGTGTGTGTGTGTGCGTGCCCAAGATCCCGAGAAGAGAATGGAGGAGATGGGATTGCAGGATGGCCATCCCCCCGGGGGGTGATTTGTCACTTTCTGTCTTGTACCTTATAGCAAAAATCTCTCTTAAAAAAAAAAAATTTACATGTTCAGACTGAGCATCCCTAACCCCAAAATCTGAATTGCTCCAAAATTAAAAACTTTTGAAAACTGATAGAACACTACAAGTGGAAAATTCCACACCTCATTTCATGTGATGGATCTTGAGTAAAATGTTACAATACAAAAATATTGTATAAAATGATTTTCAGGCGCTGTGTATAAAATGTATAGGAAATAGAAATGAATCTCGTGTTCAGACTTGATTGAGTCCCATCCCCAAGTCTCCTCGTTATGTATATGCAAATATTTTGAAATCTGAAACACTTCTGGTCCCGAGCATTTCATGTAAAGGAAACGCAGTCTGTGTCTCTAGCAGCTCAGAAGTGTCTTAAGGAATCAAAAGCCATTCTTTTGAAAGGTAATCATCAGGTGACATAGGGCCTCTTCACCCAGGCTTTGTGGGTGTAGAGAATCCTAACTTCTGTAATTGCCAGCTAGCAGAAACAGCTGGCCTAATCAACATTTATACTGACCAATCCTTTTTAATTTTCACTTCCTGGATAATAAGCCCTCTCCTGCTACCTCCCTCCCTGTTTCCTCATTTTCCTTTAAAACACTCAGTCACCTACGTAGAAACTGAAGTTGAATTGGGTTCATGCTGGACTCTCCTCCCTATTACAATAGTATGTTATGGATTAAAATCTGTCTTTATTACTTTAACTAGTATCTGGCTCTGTTTATTTTTTGACAGTGTGAAGAAGATGGAAACTGCAAAGAGCGAGGAAAAGCGATGACTTGGGGTAGGCATGTTTTGTTTATCAAATTATGTTGTGTAGAGGTAGTCACCTGCTCTGCCATGCTCCTAGAACAGGTTTCTGTTGTGTCTTGCTACAGGAAGAGGGGACTATACAGTTACCCTGGGCAGTTGTTTTGAAATGTTAATTTTTTTAATAAAAAAGTGTATTTACTTATGTATTTCTTTATGTATGTATATATGTATGTATTTATTTTTGCTAGAGGGCATGGGCACTCTCCAGAGAGAGAGAAAGAGAGAGAGAAATAGAGGAGAAAGCACCCCTCATAGGGGAAGGTCATGCCACAATACCTTCTCCTCCATCTCTCCTTCTCCTTTATCTCTTTCTCCTGTTAGGATTTTTGGCATGTGTGCACATGCTTCGGACATATTTCGCAAGCCGCCAGGTCTGGGGCTCAAACCACGTAGTCAGTCATATGTGATCTGGTTGTGCTAATCATGCCAGAGAGTTGGCTCTATTTTGAAACTTTTATTTGGTTATAAGTAGAATCAATTTTTAAAGTTATGTGAATGTGCAAATATAAAAAAGACAAAAGCAGAATAGCTCTGATAAAAATGGAAATAAGGAATCTAGAATTCCATTGTTTTTCCCTTTCTCCTTTATGCTTATTTAGGAAGCCTCAGAATCACTAGGAACAGAAGCAGAGACAGTCTCACATGTATTTGCAAGAGAATCAGATCCCTCTTCAGAACTCTTTCCACCCCATCTGGACTCAGCAACTGCCTGGGGCAGTGGCTCTGGTCTACTGGGCAAATGTCTTTTAAATCCCAGAGGATGTGTTCTGTGTAATTCTGATAGAAGAGCTAGGCATAGTCAGAGCAGGAGATGACTCAGAACTCTGATGCTTACAGATGTTACCTTGTGGCTGCTGGGATCACTGTGATGAACTTTGCCTAAGGACTATAATGAGATTTGCAGTGATTATTATATTCACCCCTCCCATCACCACCTCTAGTCTAACAAGATGAGCAAGTTAATGTCATTAGCTTTTTAAACTGGAGGAGGTAATTATTAGGTGGGTCCATTAGGAGCCAGGCAGGGGTGCATTGTTATCAGATCAGAGGCAATTATGTATAGGGCACTATTAATCAATTGGGATTGAATGTGAACCATCAGAATGTGACTTCCCATGAGAGTATACGATGTGTTTATATAACCAGATCTTCAAGAAGATAAATGTAGGAAGTCATTCAGGAAACAGAAATTCAGGGTTTCTGGACTTTACATCATACTCAGTGAAGGAAAAATGCATATGGACCAATCTGTTATGGCAGCAAAGGTGGTGTGTTGGTTGATGTTATGCATGTGAGTTAGTGACTGGACACCATGACTAGGCGAGGAAGGACGATCCTGGCAGGCAAAATGCTCTTACATGTAAAAGTTATGAGAGAATCTTATCTGGACTTGATGTAGACTCATAGTGTATTTTTGTATATTCCTCTCTCTTTTCTCTCCTTCCCTTGCCCTCTCTTTCCTTCTTCTCTTTTCAATCTCTTGCTGAAAAAGGCCTGAAATTTGAGGTACAGTTGCCATGTTTAAAGGTAGAGCGAGAGAACAAATGCTATTAGTGTTTTAGATTTTTAAATACTACTTTGTGTAGGTCATGTATTAGTAAGCCAGCCACAAAGCTGGAACCCATATCTGGAACCTTCTGAGCCTCCACAGGGGCTTGCTCAGCTTCCTTATGTTAGGGTGATGATGTTTGGAGCTAAAACCAAGGAGAGAACACTGCAGAAGAAGCCTCTTCCAGACCCGCTGTGGCAGTTTGGAACTGAGACATTTTCTGTCCACAGCCATATGCAGTGTGAACAGGCCGCAGATGTACATCATGTGAGTGGGTGAAATAGCGTTTGGTGGAAAACGATGACAGTTTTATGGCATTAGTCTTTGGAGCCCCAGGTGCACTTACTCATCTTTCATATATTTTAAGCTTTTCGCCTTGCAGGATGGTTCAGTAGGTTAGCATCTGTATTTTACAGATGAGCCCTGGAGTGAATCAGTGATGAGAGCTAGTCATACCTGAACTGGGAGAAAAGATGAGTGGATTCTTGTTGAGAGAAAAGTGTAATGAAGAAACCAAGGAGAAGGTCATCCTTTTCCTTTGGCCGTCCAGCTCACTGACCTTCCTCTCTGGGCCTTAGAGCCAACCTTGGCGTGAGCAGAGTGCACCAAGCTTTGCACAGGCTCCTAGAACGTCAGGACCCTATACTCAGCTACAGAGCAGGGGTTATAATTTCAGGGCTCAGTGTATTTTACCCCTTAGATTTTGTGCTGGGGATTTTTACTCTTCCTTTTTTGACTATTTAATGAATCATATGACTCCTTGAAACAGTGAAAGTTCTTGTGTTTAAATGACTCAGAGCCATCTCTTTATGGGCACTGAAATGACTGTTCAAAAATTTTCCCATTGTTTTAATTTGAATGAATATATTTTGGATGATTATGTAGCTATGCCTGTAAAGACAATTAATAATCCTTAATAACTTTTTTTTTAGAGGTTTTCGCTATAGGGCACCTGTGCTCACCAGAAGGACAGAGACAGAGAGACAGAAAGTGAGAAATCACCCCCCAGGGCGGATGGCCACACCACAATCCCTTCTCCTCCATTCTCCTCTCAGGTTCTTGGGCATGCATGCACACGCGCCCGGCGTGAGTTTTAAGCCACCGGGTCCGGGACTCAAACCATGGTCAACTACATGGGAGTCCAGCGATATAGCCATTATGCTAACTGCTGGTCCCAATAATCCTTAATAACTTTTGAATGATGACAATTTTTTCTTAAAATTTTATGAGTTTCATTTCTTGGGATTATGCTTAGACTTTTTGTTTTTTGTTTTTTGCTTTTTTTTTGAAGAGAGGTTTTTGTTACAGGGCACATGCACTCTCTGGAAAGATAGAGACAGAGACAGATAGCGAGAAATCACCCCCTGGGTGGATGACCACACCACGGTGCCTTCTCTTCCATTCTCCTCTCGGGATCTTGGGCATGCACCACATGCACCCAGTGTGAGGTTAAGCTGCTGCGACCGATACTTGAACTGCAGTCAACTATGTGGGAGTCCAGCATGTACCGTTATGTCATCTGGTGGTCCCTATGCTTAGACTTTTAAAACTTCTTCCACCTCTGAAATGATCATTATATAGATAAAGCATGCTTAATAGTAACTGAAATATTTATTTAAATACTAACAGCAATCACAGTGAATGCAGTTACGAAATAAAATTTCTTTCATTTCTTTTATCCAGAGGTTAGTGAGAGATGTAGAGAGCAGTGAGCAAGTACCTTAAAAACTTCGATTTGTTTAAAATTCAGAGTGAGTTTCAAAGCAAGAAAAGAAAAGAACAGAGCTGCATTCCTAGAAAATGGCTATGAGAGTAGGGGAACCTAGGAAGGGAGATCGTTGTAGACACATAACTAGTGAAATAGTCTGGTGGAAAGACTGTCCCTTAAAAATTCGTACATTCCTGTGGTATTTGCTTTTAAGTCATGCTACTCTGCCCGACTCAGCATTTTAGAGAACCTCACCCTTACATACAAAGTAAGGATTTTGTGGGTACAAGGATTCCTGTTCCCAGCCCTTCTGTCTATTGGGTCATCAGAAAAGTCATGACACATTTTTTGCGTAGGAAAATACATCATGACTTTTCCTATGACCTACTAGATCATGATCATGGTACCTGGGCCCTGGGATTTCCTGCCCAAATGGTCCTAAACCAAGACCCAGGCCTGCCCTTCTACAAGGTAAGCTCATCCTTTTGCAAAGGGTAGCTAAGGGGCAGGTGTTTGTAGGAAAGGCGGATGGCTTTCAAATCATGACATCTCCGCATGAGCTTGCAAATCCTCATGGGAGTCAGTTGGCATGTAGTAAAGGAGAGCAGGCTGGGAGCCTGGAGGCAGCTCCATCTGAACCATTAAATTGGAGTGTAGAACTTTCCCAAGGTGCTTTGCATACATTATTTCACTTAATCCAAACACTTCAGGGTGTTTTATCGTCACATTATGGGAAGGGAGAAAGAGACTCAAAGGAGATAAGTAACAGACCTAAGACCACTGAGCTAGTCAGAAGTCAGGCCGAGGTGGTCAGGCTCTAAAGTGCATGCTATTTCTCACTTTGTTATGTTGCTTTTTATAAGCAGCTTTGCTTTTTCACCTTCCCAATTTTTCCCAGAACCTATCCCCGTGCTTGGCACATGATGATATGCAATAAACATTTGTCGAGTAACTAAGAGAGTGGAAGAAACTCTGTTCACTTTTACTACTAATGAGATGTATGGTGTGACTGTTGTGTTATGCTGGGAATTCCATGCCCAGTGTGTGGAATAGGACATTTCACTCCTCATCCATCTGTGTTCGTAAGTATGTTCTTGCTATGGCTTTGCAGTTTACTGGGCTCACTTATCCACTAGCCAGCCCAGGAAATTGCTGTAAATTTTCTGGCTAGCAAGGACTCGAATGTTACAGAAAGAATTTTTCTTTAAAGAAAATGTGAATAAATACCATCTATGCTATACTTCAAATTATTTTCCCCTTTTCCCTTAAAATGGCACTACCACTGGTTAGAAAGCAATTCAGGAGTTGTTGTCAGACTATCTGCTTCACATGGGTTGGTTAGCATGATGCCTCTGTTGGTGTGGTCCTATTTCAGCTTTCCTGGGCTGTGGTTATTGCACCCCTGTGTTGCTCATGTGGCTCCCTCCTGGAGTGGTCATCTGTGCTGTCCCATGGCTTTGTCTTTCCTTGTGCTCTCTCCCACGTAGCAGGGATGCCAAGACCATTCTCTGCTGTTGGCAGAAAGTCCTGGAATTCTTCCTCAACTCCTGCTATAGATTAGTTTTGTATTTCCCCCATGTGTTTCTATTTGTACACTTAATTGTTTGGGCTTATTTCCTTGCTAGACTGTAGCTCCATTTGAGGACAGATTTTGTGAGCCACTTGCTCACCATTGTATCACCGCAGTTAACACAATGCCTGACACAAAGAAGGC